ATAGATAGAGAGTTAAAATAATAGCTGGAGTAAAATAAAATTTCTTATGATTTACAAATAATCACATCGATAATTGTTTGTTCCTTCAAAGTCTGTTTTTTTAATATTTATATTTTATTGATTTCACTTCCAGGAAAGAATTAAAAAGAGACACCAGTTTTTCACATTCTTGGGTCAGTAATGTTTAGCTTCCCCAGCTCCTAGAAAATAGAATGCCCAAATTTCAATGTCAGCTAGAATAATGAGGGAATTCTAATGCAATTTATACATTTTCCTGGTTAGCAGTCATCCTTTCTTTTTGAGAAGGAGGATAAAGAGACTCAGTAGTCATCATAAAGTCACTTCTTAAAAGGAGAATAATTGTGTGTAAGAAGATAAATATCAGGCACGGGTGAGCAGATCTGTTCTTGCTGCTGAGAAACGCCAAGAGCCAGGAGCAAGCTCCCCGGCGTGCTGCCTGTGTGCCTTCCTGGGCAGCTGAGGTCCTGCGTCCCCTAAACAGGTTCATTAATACTGAGACAGAACAGTCATGCCAGTCTTGTTAAGTTTTTCACCATGTGAAGCAGAGAGTGAAGTTTATTTATCATAAACACAATAATATTGTACTTGAAACAACAAGGCTGCCAAGACATTAAAACTCAAGACAGAAGCTATGGCTCTGTCCATACAAAATCAATATATTTATTCTAACAGCAGAAAAAGGCTTATGATACAGTACACAAACCTAAAAAATTAGTATTTTTATCTTTAAATTTTCTCAACTGCTGCCTTCCTTAAAATGTACAATACAATTTAATATATGCCATACATCTAATTTAATAAAAAGTATGTACTAGCCTGCTTCCTTAAAGAAAACTGGTACAATGTTTAGAAGCTGTGATTAATTACCTTTGATAAAAAAATAATAATTTTCAGAGCTTTCTGTTTGCCTTGAGTGTGTTACATTTTCTTGATCACCTGGAGCTGATATGTCCTTTTTTATTTTAAAATGAATTTTAAAAATCTAAATAAGCAAAACAAAAACAAAAGTAAAAAAATGAAAGCCATGTAGAATTTCCAAGGAAGATGACAGGAAATTAACAATGACTGTTATGTTGTGTATTTCTTAACTTGTCTCTGCATAGAGAAATACAAATAAGATAATTAAGCTAAATGTAGCTTTTCTAAGTAATCAGTATAATCTAGGCTTTTGTGTTTCATCAGTAATAAAGTTGTCTTCCTGACATTAAATGAATATGCCTTGTTTCCCAAGGTTGCAGGTCTTTTAATCATCATTTCTTTAACTCTAAGATAGGTATGAAGTGTTAGTTTAAAATGCACTTTTGAATGCATAAATATTGAGCAAACATCAATGAAATATGGACATTTCACAAGATATCAAATTTATCAAAATTACTCTCAAAATGCAATGTGTGTTTGATTGTATACCCAGAAATTATCTTCTAAATTTTAATATCCTATTATCTACATATTCTCTAATTTTTAAAATTGGTAATGTCTTGAGATAACTGCATCTTGTCAGTTATTCATAGTACAGCAGAGCCATCATTATATTTTGTTTTGTAAATTTTTTATCTAGCATGAATTAGGCGGTGTCTGCACATTTCTTCTCATTTTTCTACCAAAGGATCAGGTGTTGTGTAATTTTGCTGAAAAAATAAACATCCATTGAGAACAATTTTATGAATGAAAGTCAGTTAAAGAAAGGTGTTTTAAAGTTATGTTGATCATGACGCCAGAAGTCTTAGCTAAACAAAACACAGCCCATAGGTAGTGGGCAAGTAGCTTGCACCCATGCTTGGAATTTCCTCTCCCTTGATAGTAAATTGCTCTACTTATGGTAACAAGGAACCCCTGTCCCTTTTCCAATCACTTTCCATTTCAGAGCTTTTACTTGTGACACTAGTTTTCCTAAATATTTATGAATTATTAAATGA